GACAGGCAGGCGGACAGGGAGACAGGCAGGCGGACAGGGAGACAGGCAGGCGGACAGGGAGACAGGCAGGCGGACAGGAGGATAGGCGGACAGGAGGACAGGCGGACAGGCGGACAGGCAGGCAGGCAGGACGCGTGCACCCCCTGGACGGCTGGTCCGGGTTCAGGTCTCCGGTCCCGGCTCCGGCTGGCTGCCGTCAGGATGCGAGCTTTGGAGATGGCGTCTTCCTGCACAGCTCAGGCTGGCCTTGAATTCAGAGCCCCCTGCTTCAGCGCCACCAGGCCCTGAACGCCGCAGCGTGGTCCTAAGCCTGGTAAGAATGTGGGAGTTCAGCTCTTGCTCGCTGTAACTCTTAAGTTGAAGCTTTCCTGGGGCCGGCCCAGTCCACAGTGAGTCCCGCAGCCGGGGCCACGTGCTGAAGCCCTGTATGAAAGAAAAATTAAACAGGGGAGCACGGCTGTAGTCTGGAGGAAATTTGCAGAGTGGTTACAGCTCTAGGGTTGGCAATGCACACTGGTAATCAGTTTGGGGCCAAGGCAGGAAGGTCGGCCGTGCCTGGACCACGTAACAGCCCTTACCAAAGCGAGCAGTGCAGAGAGCAGCAGACGTAGGACTGTTTCCTGCTTTGTCTTCGGTTTCGTGCTCGGGGGTCTTTGATACATGTCGCCCAGAACTCTTGACCCTTCTGCCTCCCAGCCACTCCCAGCTGCTCCTCCTCCTTTCATCTTCCTCACCCCTTTCTCCCATCCTGTGCGGTTTTTCAAGGGCTCACCCAAGCGTGAGAGACTGATTCTGAGAGGGATTTTAGAGGAGAGAGATCTTTGTCCTGTGTGCAGGCATATTCAGGGTGGCGTAGATACTTGGAGGAGACCTGGAAGTAGGTCGCAGCTCTGAGGACCAAGCGATGGGTAGTTGGAAGGAGAGTGGATGAGTGAGAACAAGGGAAGAAGGATGATGGGGTGATGGATGGGGTTAGGGCTGGGTGAATTCATGGGTGGGGTGAGGGCTGGGGAGGGAAGGATGAGGGTGAGGGCTGGGGAGGGGAAGGATGAGGTGAGGGCTGGGGAGGGGAAGGATGAACCTGGCTCGGGGGAGCGAGCAGAAAGGCTCTTCCTCTGCTGTTGACTGTCTTTGGACAAGTGTGTCGCTAACAACACACATAAGCTGGTCGCTGACGAGAGTCCAAACCCTGGTCTGGGCCTTGGCCTGTACCTTCCTCCTGCCCTCTCCTCACACTCATGGCAGCCGGGCTAGTTGTTCACACCCTGTCCCTGGCTGGCTTCAGGGTCCCACTGTGTAGCCCAAGCCTGGAGCTCGCATCCTCCGGCCCCAGCCACCCGCATGTGGCACCATGATGGTGTGAGGGCTCAGTGTGGCTCATCCCTGCTCTTTCTGCTCTTACTTCACAGAGCGGCAAGACGGTGTTGGCCAACTTTCTGACGGAATCTTCAGACATCACTGAATACAACCCCACTCAGGGTGTGAGGTGAGCCTGCCCCGACTGCGGCTTCCCTCCCCTGGGAGCTGAGCGTATCCCAAAGCCACGTCCTAACCACAGTCCCGCCGCCCTGTGTGTGTTGTCAGGATCCTGGAGTTCGAGAATCCACATGTCACCAGCAACAACAAAGGCACGGGCTGCGAGTTCGAGCTCTGGGACTGCGGTGGTGACTCCAAGTGAGCTTCCTCTAACACAGCTCTGACAGGGCACAGCGAAAAGCCAGGGTCAGGTGTGGCTCAGTGGTGTAGTCCCTGCCTAGAATCCCCCAGTGAGGGGCTGGGGTGTGGCTCAGTGGTCACCTGCCTAGAATCCCCCAGTGAGGGGCTGGGAGTGGCTCAGTG